AAATTGTGGTTCTAGTTTCTAGTTTTCTTACCATGAACAATAAGCTTCTTTTCATAAGTTGAAAGAACGCTTTTAGCTTCTTATCTGTGGGCTCATCATTTATTTCATTTTCTATTATTTTTATTTTCTGAAATGTTGCTAGACTTCTTTAAAGGAAGGAAATTAATCCTTTATTTTTGTGGTAGAAGTTCCGAATAATTTTTCTTTTTTAGAGACAGGGTCATACTCTGCCATCCAAGCTGGAGTACAGTGGCACTATTCTGGCTTCCTGCACCCTCAAGCTCCTGAGCTCAAGGAATTCCATCTCAGCCTCCCAAGTAGCTAGGACGAAAGGCACACAACACCATGACTGGCTAATTTTGTAAATTATTGTTTTCTTTTGAGATGAGGTCTTGCAATGTTGCTTAGGCTGGTCTCAAACTCCTGGCCTCATGTGCTCCTCCTACGTGTGATTACAGACATGAGCCACTGTGCACAGTCCCAAATAATTTTTATAGTTTCTCATTTGATTGTTTTCTTCCATGTAAAAATACAATTTTAAAAATTAGGCTGGGCGCGGTGGCTCACTCCTATAATCTCAGCGCTTTGGGAGGCTGAGGCAGGCGTATCACCCGAGGTTGGGAGTTCGAGACCAGCCTGACCAACATGGAGAAACCCCGTCTCTACTAAAAATACAAAATTAGCTGGGCGTGGTGGCACATGCCTGTAATCCCAGCTACTAGGGAGGCTGAGGCAGGAGAATTACTTGAACCTGGGAGGTGCAGGTTGTGGTTAGCTAAGATCGTGCGCCACTGCACTCCAGCCTGGGCAACAAGAATGAAACTCTGTCTCAAAAAAAATAAATAAATAAAAAATAAAAATAAAAATACTTTGCCCATCTAGTTTGGTATCACAAGGTACTCCACAATCTGTATTTCTTTCACTCATCAAAATTGCCATTTTTATCACATATTTTATTCCCTTTAATATATCTAAGTAGACCTGAGCTTTATACTTATTTCCACTGAACTGTTCATTTAACTGCCAGGATCACCTTACAGTTATCAGTTTTAAAACAGTTCAGTATCTACGAGGGCTACTTCCCTGACAGTTTTTCTCTCTCAGAATTTCTGGTGTTTGTTTTCTCTTAACAATGCTAGAAAGTTCAAACATTTTTATTAAAATTTTAATGGAAATCCATGAAATGTTAGGAAGTTTTGACATTTTATCATGTTGTGTCTTCCTGTCCTTTTATTCAAGTCTTATTTTTATTTTATTTTTGAGACAGGGTCTCACTCTTTGCCTAGGCTAGAATACAGTGGCATGATCATGGCTCACTGCAGCCTCGACTTCCTCAGCTCAAGCAATTCTCCCTCCTGCATAGCAGGGACCATAGGCATGCACCACCCACATCCAGCTAATTATTTTTTAATTTTAATTTTTTTTGTTTTTGAGACAGGGTCTCACTCTGTTGCCCAGGATGGAGTACAGTGGCACCATCACCACTCACTGCAGTGTCAGCCTCCCTGGGCTCAAATGATCCTCCTATCTCAGCCTCCTGGGTAGCTGGGACTACAGGCACACACCATCAAGACTGGCTTTTTTTTTTTTAAAGAAATGAGGTCTTACTATGTTGCTCAGGCTAGTCTCCAACTCCTGGGCTCAAGTGATCTTGCTGCCTTGGCCTCCCAAAGTGCTGGGATTATAGGTGTGAACCACCGCATCCCGCCTACTCTCAGGGTTGCTGGAAACTTTGAGAAAGGGTAAGCGGCCCACAGGGGCAGGTATGGGATAAGATATTCTGCATGGCTTTGTCCAAAAGTGCCTAGAGTGGGAAACAGAATTCATGCCCAACAACAGGGAATCAGACACCATAGGCACTTCTCAGTCTGGCAGCAGGCTCTTTTTAAAATTTATTTTTTTATTTTGAAATGATTATAGATCCACAGAAGCTTGCAAAAATAGTGCAGAGAGGTCTCATTTACCCTTCATCCAGCTTCTCCACAATGGTCACATCTTCCATAACCATAGCACACGGCCAAAATCAGAAAACTGGCTGGGCAGGGTAGGTAGCTCATGCCTGTAATCCCAGCGCTTTGGGAGGACAAGGCAGGAGGACTGCATGAGCTTAGGAGTTTGAGACCAGCCTGGGCAACATAGTGAGACTCTGTCTCTACAAAATAAAAATACACAAATTAGCCAGCATGATAGCGTGTACCTGTAGTCCCAGCTACTCAGGAGGCTGAGGTGGGAGGGTCACTTAAGCCCAGGAGTTTGAGGCTACAATGAGCTATGACTGTGCCACTGTACTTCAATCTGGACAACAGAGCAAGACTCTGTCTCTAAAAAATAAAAATAAAAAATCAGAAAATTGTCATTACACAATGCGCCAACTTCTTTCAGATATCACTAATTTTCCACGTACTCATTATGTGCATGTTTTTACCATTTTATCACACATTTAGATTTGTGTCACCACCACCACAATCAAGAGGCCAAACTATTCCATGTAAAGATACCATTTTAAAGTAATTGTTTAAACCACCCATCAATACCACTCCTGAGTATCTATCCATGACAAACAAAAACATGTATCCACAAAAAGACCCGAATGTGAATGTTCATAGCAGTTTTATTCATAAGCACCTCAGAATTGGAAACAACCCATGTGTGCATCAATGGATAATTGGATAAATGGATAATCAATGGAAACCAACTGTGATCCATCCTGATCCATCCAGACAGTGGAATACTACTTTGTACTAAGAATGAAGCAATGATACATGCAATAATATGAATGAATTGCAACATGCAACTGAACTGAGCTCATGCCTGCAATCCCAGCACTTTGGGAGGACAAGGCAGGAGGATCCCGTAAGCTCAGGAGTTGGAGACCAGTCTGGGCAACATAGTGAGACACTGTCTCTACAAAATAAAAATACACAAATTAGCGAGCATGGTGGCATGTACTTGTAGTCCCAGCTATAGCTTACTGATTGCAACATCCTTACTGAATGAAGCCAGACTCAAAAGGTTACATTCTGCAAGACTCCTTTTATATGAGATGAAATTAGAACAGAGGTTACTTTTGTGCCAGGGTAACTGGATGGGGGCTAGAAGTGTTCTGTTTTTGTTTTCTTTTTAAATTTGGGTGATGGTGGTGACATGAGTTTAAAAAAATGCAAATATATACATTTGCTTATATGAAAATAATGAAAGGATAAGCTGAAAACTTAGATAAAAGATAGAATATAATATTCTCTATTGCTTTTGTCACTGACAAAGTATCCTGGAGACCAGGCAAGGTGGCTCACACCTATAATCCCAGCACCTGAGGAGGCCAAGGTGGGCAGATCACTTGAGCCTAGGAGTTCAAGACCAGCCTAGGAAACGCAGCAAGATCCCAACTGTACAAAAAAATAAAATAAAATTAGCCAGGTATGGTTGTACATGCCTGTAGCCCCACCTACTTGGGAGGCTGAGGTGGGAGGATCACCTGAGCCCAGGGAGGTCGAGGCTGCAGGGAGCCATGATCAAACCACTGCACTCCAGCCTGGGCAACAGAGTGAGACCTTGTCTCAGAAACAAACAAAACAAAAAAACAAAAAAATTCGAAGTATCCTGGAGGCCCTTCTCCATAAATCCATGCAATTGATCCCTTTTCTTGGCTGCATAATACTTCTCAGTGGCACTGTACTTGGTTAATTCACCCAGTTTCCCTCTCTTGGATAGTTGGAATTCAATTATTTCTTTACACTTTCCAAAATAATTCCCTGTGATATAGATCCAATGACCCTCACAAAAACCCTGTGAGGTAAGTCCCATTATACCTGAAATTGACTAACATGACTAACATAGGAGACACTCACGGCTTGCTCAGTTACACATTGCAGAGGTGGCCTAGCCAAGATTTTTCAAATGACAGCATTGAGATATAATTTGCACACCATAAAATTCGCTCATCTAAAGTATACAATTCAATGGTTTTTGGTATATTCACAGACCATCATAATGAACAATCATCCATAATCTAATTTTAGAACATTTCAATCACCAGGAAAGTAACTCCAAAAGCATGCATGCCAAATTTAAGATCATTAAGATGTATGCCTATGTTTTTTCCTAAGGGTTTTATAGTTTGTTTTGTTTTGAAACAAGGTCTCAATCTGTTGCCCAGGCTGGAGAACAGTGATATGATCATGGCTCGCTGCAGCCTCGACTTCCCTGGGTTCAGGTGATCTTCCCACCTCAGACTCCTGAGTAGCTAGCCACCCAGCGCGTGCCACCACTCCTGGCTAATTTTTGTATTTTTGTAGAGACAGGGTTTCACTAAGTTGCCCAGGCTAATCTTGAACTCCTGGACTCAAGCAGTGCACACACCTCAGCCTCCCAAAGTGCTGGGATTACAGGTATGAGCCACCGTGCCCCACCCAAAGTCTTATTTTAAGATGTGCTCTTTAAAGATATATCATGTAATTACTAAAGTCATTTCCTTTGTATCCCTTATTTTTGATGACCACTGTAAATAAAGTCTTTTTTCCCCCATACTTTCCACATACACACCCTATTGATTTGTTAATGTTTTTTCCAACAACCCTGAGTTTTCTAATTGTTATCACTGTTCATTTTTAATAGGATGAAAACTTAGAAGTCTTTCTGCCTCAGCCTCAGCTGACATCCCAAAGATGGTGAATGAAACAAAATTCTAAGAGAACTTCATTTCAGAACAGGATCTTACACAGCTGTTGAGTGTAAAATTCTGCTATCATTAAACTCCTCCTTTAGGAGGGTGGAGAGGCTGAGAGAAGAGAGAAGAAAATGTATTTTTTAAGAGATTGTTATTTTTAGAACAGTGTTTTTCCAGGGGGAAAAACGTGAGTGATTCTCCCTTCTTTACAACACAAAGCGGTCCCTCAGACCCTGAGTACACCAGGAACCAAAGTGGTGAGAGAATTCTTGGCAAAAATGTACATGTTTCTAGGATTTGGGAGGGCAAAGTGACTGAGGTGGCTAATTCTCACCTTAGCATTAGGTGAAGACCCCATGGGTGGAGGCTGTCTGGGTTGTCTTGGGTCCTATCAAAGAGGACTGACTGGACAAACCCACCCACCAGAGTGGGTGGGCCACTGCATGCCCAGAGGAAGCACTGGGGCAGCAGCTGCAGAAGAGGCTATGTCCATGAGAACGGAAGCGTATCTGGAAGTTCCAAGCAGCAGGTTATCTTGGAAGGTAAGAGATGACTTACACTAAATTATAGCGGTATCAGTCATGTTAGCCTCTTCTTGTCTCTGACTTCTGTCTTCTCATTCCTTTCCCAGCTCCCAATCCATGAGAGCTGAAGACTACCTATAGGGAGTAAAGAGGAGACAAAATAAAGGTTGGGGAATGAGAGAAGAAACTAATCATGTATCCTTTCACATTGCAGGCTTCCAGCAGAAGAAATTCATCCAGCAAAAAAATAAAAAATACATGGCCGGGCGCGGTGGCTCAAGCCTGTAATCCCAGCACTTTGGGAGGCCGAGACGGGCGGATCACGAGGTCAGGAGATCGAGACCATCCTGGCTAACACGGTGAAACCCCGTCTCTACTAAAAATACAAAAAACTAGCCGGGCGAGGTGGCGGGCGCCTGTAGTCCCAGCTATTCCGGAGGCTGAGGCAGGAGAATGGCGTAAACCCGGGAGGCGGAGCTTGCAGTGAGCTGAGATCCGGCCACTGCACTCCAGCCTGGGCGACAGAGCCAGACTCCGTCTCAAAAAAAAAAAAATAAATAAAAATAAAAAAATAAAATAAAATAAAAAATACAAATATATATACACACACACACACACACACACACACACACATCCAAATAGGAATTTTGAGAGTAACAGTTACGAGATACAGTTTTTTTATCTTTAAAATACTGGTCCCATATAAAATACTGGTCCCAAATAGTGGTGTTCTATTCATTTAAGCATATCAGTCATCAGTCAATACCAGGTTTTCCCAATAAATGGTCTTTTTTGGAGGGGGAGGGACAGAGTCTCGCTCTGTCGCCCAGGCTGGAGTGCAGTGGTTGGCTCACTGCAACTTTCACCTCCGAGTTCAAGCGATTCCCCTGCCTCAGCTCCCGAGTAGCTGGGGCTACAGGCATGCGCCATCATGTCCAGCTAATTTTTATATTTTTAGTAGAGACGGGGTTTCACCATGTTGGTCAAACTTCTGACCTCAGGTGATCTGTCTGCCCCAGCCTCCCAAAGTGCTGGGATTACAGGCGTGAGCCACCGCGCATGGGTCCAGTCTTACCTCTGAAAATTATTTTGCCTCTTCCTCTCCATTAAAAAGAAAAAAACCACTACTTTACTTGTCTAATTACCAGACTCAAATTCTATAGGCATATATAAAATGCCCAACACTCGGAAATCAATTTAAACAATGCATACTTTAGTCAGCACTCGGTTTCTCAAGTACTCCACCTAAGTCGCACAGTGTGCCACATTCACAGTCATCAAGGGTCGTGCACACAAAGTACTTTAAAAATTAGGCATATTCGTAGCTGTATCACCCACTACATAGTCATAATCCCATAGGCCCCCACGTCATGCACAATTTCACTGAACTTACACTTCTACAAAAAGTAATAACCTTTCACTCACAATGCCCTCACTGTCGTCCCTCCGAAGTCGGACACAGGCTCAAACACAAATCGATTCGCACCTAATTTAAGTTAAAACTTAAGACACGCAGGGACCGCATCACTTTCATAAACAACCGGTTCCACAACGTCACGAAGAATAACACATTCCCCTACCACAACACACAGGACAGGTACGAAAAGCCACACACATACGGAGCGCCTGTTGTATGCTAGGCCGTGCTCCAGGAGCCGGGGGACGAAAATCAGACGAAATTCCTGCCACTGCGGAGCTCACCCCCGCCTCGGGCAACCGGTTCCCTTCTTCAGGCACTCCCCGGCCCGCGCTCTGGCTCCTGCTTCCCTCCCAGCCTTCTCCAGGGCCCGGACTCGCACTTTCCTCCCGTCAACTCCTCGTCCCAGGTTGCTCCTCTTCCCTTCTTGCTTTCCCCAGCCCAGGCTCCCGCCTGCCTCCTCAGCTTTCCCTACGGGTCCCACCACCCGACCATCCAGCCTCACCTTCGCTCGCCGGCCGAGCGTCTGCGCATGCGTACTCCCGCGCGGAGGGCGACTCCCAGGTGTCTCCGCGGCGCATTCCTGCGGGCCACCGGTTACGCGCGCCTTCTCCACATCCGGGCGTTTCCGGCCTTGGACTACATTTCCCACAGGCTCCCGGGCCGTTTTCGAACTTTGATCTCAGGTTCCCCTTCCAAGTTCTCATAGTGCATGGCTAGGGGTGCGGGCGGCGCTCACAGTGAGGAAACCCCGGGCTCCCGGGACGCAGACAGGGTGTGCAGGGCCGTAGCTCGGACCTGTGTATGCGTGTGTGCGTGTTTGACGCCAGGACAAAGCGGCTATGTGTGCGGCGAGGAGGCTGCAACAGGTGCGTGATTGTGTTCCTGTCCCTGCTCGGATGTGGGACCTTTGGGTGGCCGTGGTCGGCTGTCATGTGGGGTGTGTGACACTGTAGGGTTTGAGACCTCCCATCATGACAGTGTGGCCTAGTGTGATGGAAGAACCTTTAAGTCTGTGGTGTTGTGTGTGTAACGGGTAAAGCTTCATTTCTGCAGTGCTGTGTTTAACGTTGGGACTGAGGGGTCTGTCGAAGATCTCCCCCATGTGCCTGTGAGGACTACGATCGATGCCTATGTTAAGCAGAGTCATCTTGCAATGAAGCATGGCCAGCGTTGTCTTCTCAGGGCACCCCCGTCCCCAGTTCTCAGCCTGGTGTTTAACACGGGATCCTGGTAGAGTCCCCACCTAAGTGATTGTTTCTTGGGCTCTGCATCTCTGAGTTCCCAGCTTCCTTTTTTCTCCTGCTTCATAGCTGTATAGACCCCAGCTGCAGTGAAATAGCCGTAAAAAGGGAAGGGATAATCGAGTGGTGGAGTAAAATCTGCAAACAGAAAAAGCACAGACCTGTTTTTGGAACGAGGCTTTTCGAGTTGTAAGTGTCTCTCAGGCAGAGTTCTGGGAAGACGTGATGGGGAGAGCCTAGGAGTAGGATTCCTTCCTCAGAGGCTCTCCCTTGGGAACTCTCAGAGGTCAGGTTCCATGTGAACCACATCATTCCCAGAGATGTCTCCCCGGGAGACTTATGTGAATTTAGAGAAAGTCCCCAGTCCTGGGAATCAGTGACCCTGGCCTTTCCCTTGAATATTAAGAAGGATTATCAGTACTCCCATCTCCCTTTTACTTCCATCTGAGTATGTGTATGGTAGATGATGAGAGCTTGTGTGGTGGGAATAATTTTTTCCAGTTTAGCCAGTCTGTGTTCCAAGAATGGTCTGATGTCTCATGATTTCTTACCCCTTTCCTTTCCCCTTCTCCCTTGCCTTGAGGTTCTCTAAGAGCCCCAAGGAAAGGGAACCATTGCTGAGCATATCTGAAAACCAAGGTCAAGGAAGTTTTGTTATATTTTCTATTTTTGTTATCTTTGATTTTGTTTTTCAGAAAGGGAGTATTTTTTTCTCCTCCTGAAATGCTAGTCAGTGGTTTGGTTACTATTAGGCAGGGCCTTGTGAAATGTTTTGACCAATAGAATGTGGTGGAAGTGATATTGTGAGACTTCAGAGACAAAGCTTCAGGAAGTCGTGCAGCTTTTTCTCTTCCCCTTTTCCTGCCCTGAGACCACCATGACTGAAGGCTAAGAGCAGCTTGCTTGAGGATTAAAGATCTCTTGGAGAGAGAGGTCCAGTGAGTAACAATGGCCAGATATTTCAGGGAGACCATCTTGGACCATCCAGCCTCCACCAAGCCAACAGCTGACAGTTGTCACATGAATATGATCAGCAGAAAAACCACTCAGGCAAGCCAAGCCCAAATTGGCAACCCCCGCAAATAATGAACTAATTATTTTTTGTTTTAAGTCATAAACTTTTGAAGTGGTTATATAGCAATAGATAACTGAAACAGGTGTTTAACTTTCCAGACTTTAAAAATTAGCATATTGATATAATTGTATTGTTCAACCTGTTTTGTAAAGTGATTTCTCTGATTTAGTATCTTGAAAAGATTCCTTATCCTTAACTATTTTCTACAACTTTGCATTTGTCTTAGTATTATATTACATGGATAGATGGTAATTTATTTGACTACTAACTTCCCTTTGCAATTCCTTTTCCTTGCTGTCTAGCTCCCATGTCTTGACCAACTTTACATTCACCTCCAGGACCTTATGGGCACACGGGTTCCTGTCATTTCACGGGTATGTAGACTCAGGAATGTGGCACTGACTTCTGGGTGGAGTACAGATGACTGACACACATACCCCCAAATCAGAGGAATTTATTCAGGGGTGTGATATAACGCCTACATACATTTAACTAGCCAATTGGGTCTCCCCTTTCTTTGTTTTGAGAGCAAGTGTCACTCTGTCGCCCAGGCTGGAATGCAGTGGTGCGATCTTGGCTTACTGCAACCTCTGCCTCCCAGGTTCAAGGGATTCTCCTGTCTCAGCCTTCCGAGTAGCTGGGACTACAGGTGCCCACCACCATGCCCGGATGATTTTTGTATTTTTAGTAGACATGGGGTTTCGCCAAGTTGGCCAGGCTGGTCTCAAACTCCTGACCTCAGGTGATCTGCCTGCCTTGGTCTCCCAAAGTGTTGGGATTACAGGCGTGAGCCACTGCGGCCAGCCGGGTCTCCCTTTTTACATCTGTTTTCCCCTTTCCAGTTCAAATTCTGTATTCTGGGAACATCTTACTTCACCCTGATTGATTAGGGAATCTTCAGGGTTCTTAGGCTATTTTCTGAAGGACTGGTTTAAGATTCCTAGAGGTGGAAATGGGTGTCTCTCCTGTGTTATTTATAAAGTGTTATCACCCTAATCCTTCAGAATACTTTCTTAACTTCTTTCTGCTTGATGATTAAGGAACGGTCTCAATTCTCCATAGCCACATCAGACCAAAATTCCATTTCTTTGCCTATGTGAAGGATTTATTATTAATTACCCTATTAATTTATGTCCAGACCAGATGTGATTTCCTTCTTGGAGCAATAGTTCGTGAAGAGGTTAACAGGAGTTCTGTGTCCAGGTAAATGAGAGGCAACTGAGAAGAGGAACTCATTGTGTATAAAATCTTAGGATTCTAGATTTAGGACCTTTGAGACAGTATTTGAATTAGTGCTCCAGAATGTCTATGAAGAAAGTTTGGGTCTCTTCAGCCAGAATTCAGACCATTTCAACATTGCAATCCAGGTATCATACACATATCTCCTTTTATTTTTTTTTTTCTGCTCTCAAAGCAGATTTCTCTCATTGTAAAATTAGTAGATTCTTAATTCAGAAGATTGGAGAATATTAAAAAAGGTTAAAGTAAGCACTTTGAACATTTTATTCCAAATAACTTCACCTCATTTATGAATAAGTGCATGAATATAGGCATATAGGATTTTTCCATTCAGAACAGGGTTATATAACAATTGTTTTGAAATCTACTTGTTTCTTCTAACAAAATATAGTGAACAAATTTTCATGTCACTAAATCATGAACTGTGTCATAATCTTTTAATGGCTGCACTGTTTTGTTTGGATATGTAAGTTCTGTCTAGCTTTTTCCCATTATATGCAATGTTTTACTGCATATGCCTTTCTGTGCACATGTAAATTGTATCTTTTGGATAGAGTCTTAGATATTTTGCTGAGAATGAGGCTTTCATAGTTAAAACCTGCTTACACATCTTTATTAATTGCCCTGATTAAGTTTGCACCAATATACAACATACTATGAGAGTGTCTATTCACTACTATATGGTATCATTAGTCTTTTATTTATTTATATTATTATATTTTATTATTATTATTTGAGACAGAGTCTCACTCTGTTGCCAGGCTAGAGTGCAGTGGCATGATCTCGGCTCACTGCAACCTCCGCCTCTCAGGTTCAAGCAATTCCCCCACCTCAGCCTTGCAAGTAGCTGGGACTACAAGGCGCGTGCCACCATGCATGGCTAATTTTTTGTTTTTAGTAGAGACGAGGTTTCACCACGTTGGCCAGGATGGTCTTGATCTTCTGACCTCGTGATCTGTCCTCCTCGGCCTCCCAAAGTGCTGGGATTACAGGCGTGAGCCAACGCACCTGGCCATCATTAGTCTTTTAAGTCCACTAATCCAGCGGAAATTGTGTTTATTTAAATGAATTACCCATGCACAGGTTTCATTAAGTGTAATAAAATTTGGGCTTCAGAAGCAAAAACCAGAACTGAAAGAAAATTGGTTTTGTAGTTAGAAAAATGTGATTTAAAAATGCAGATATTCCATTTATTTTGAGTGTGTATAGCTCACGCCTATAATCCCAGCACTTTCGGAGGCTGAGATGGGTGGAACACTTGAGTCCAGGAGTTTGAGACCAGCCTGGGCAATATAGTGAAATCCCCTATCTACTAAAAATAAAAAAAATCAGCTGGGTGTGGTGGCACACCTGTAGTCCTAGCTACTTGGGAGGCTGAAATGGGAGGATCACCTGAGCCCAAGGAGGTTGAGGCTGTAGTGAGCTGTGATTGTGCCAATGCACTCCAACCTGAGCGTTGGAGTGAGACCCTGCCTCAAAAAAACAAAAACAAAAAACTCTTAAAATTGAGGGAAAGACCCAAAAACCTGATAGAAAAAAGTGGGTAAAAGAAATGAACACATGAAATCACACACACGCAGACATACAGAGAGACAACGAGGAAGCACAAATTTTAAAATTATAGAGGCCGGGTGCGGTGGCTCAAGCCTGTAATCCCAGCACTTTGGGAGGCCGAGACAGGCGGATCACAAGGTCAGGAGATCTAGACCATCCTGGTTAACCCGGTGAAACCCCGTCTCTACTAAAAAAAAAATACAAAAAACCAGCCAGGCGAGGTGGCGGGCGCCTGTAGTCCCAGCTACTCCGGAGGCTGAGGCAGGAGAATGGCGTAAACCCGGGAGGCGGAGCTTGCTGAGATGAGGTGAGCTGAGATCCGGCCACTGCACTCCAGCCTGGGCGACAGAGCCAGACTCCGTCTCAAAAAAATAAAAATAAAA